ATATCTATTAAGAGATTAGATCAAAATCAAATGCAAAATAATTCATTCAAAAGGGAATAGATCACTGACACTAATCCCTTAATTACTTTGAGAATAATAAATTGACTATTTTAGTCTTGATTTTAATCCAATTTCTAAACACGGAATAAAGGTGAAATACTGAATAAAGGTGTATATATATCTAGTACTATTATAAAGAGAAGTCTTCTCTGGGTGTTTATGTCTCATATTTTGGGTTTTTGAAAAATACCCCTATATCAGTTATATTTGCAGCTATGCACTAAATTCATTTTTTTTTTTTTTTCAAATCTCTCAACTTTTGAATTTTTCAGATTCATTTCAATTTTTAGATTTTGAATTCAATCATACAGTTTACAGTCGTATTTTCTGAAACAAAATGATCATATATATGTAAGCATGTGGACCTCGAATTGAAATTGCCAGCCCACTTTAATTCTCAATTCATGAATTTCATAATATGAATTTCAATTCTCAATTCTCAATTATATGAATTTCATTATATGACATTAACAATTCTCAATTATATGAATTTCAATTCGCATAATTTTATTCTTAATTAAAAAAAAATTCCTTTTAGTAACAAGCAAAAAATAAAATTTTCAATTCAACAAATATAGGTTTGTTTATTCACAATTCATAAATTCCAAACCCTAATTTCAAAAAATATAGACAGGATTCACAATTCACATTGCAAAAAATATAGACACGATTCAAAATTCAAAACCCTAATTTCTGAAACCACAAGCATAATTTCTGATTTCACAATTCAAAACCCTAACATTTTATGATTTCATAATTTCATAACCACACATTTAAAACCCTAACACATTTCATAATTCAAAACCCTAACACATTTAACCACACATTTCATAATTCAAAACCCTAACACATTTAACCACACATTTCATAATTCAAAACCGTAACACATTTATAATTTATGATTTCATAATGCAAAACCCTAATTTCTAATTTCAAAACCCTAACACATTCTAATTCAAAACACATTCTATGATTTCATAATTGAAAACACATTCTATCCTAATTTCTAATTTCTATTTCAAAACACATTCTATGATTTCATAATTCAAAACCCTAACACGTTTCATTATTCAAAACCCTAATTTCTAATTTCATAATTTATGATTTCACATTCAATTGAAAACCTTACAAAATTTTCACAATTCAAAACCACATCATTTTTTACCAATTCAAAACCACACATTCACATTTTCACAAACACAATAAAAACATAAAATTCAAATGAGACGGAGAGAGATAGATGCCATACCATGGACAGAGAGAGAGCAGAGACAGAGAGTGAGAGCAGAGAGAGAGTCTGAGAGCAGAGGGAGAGCGAGAGCGAGAGCGAGAGTGAGAGTCTGAGAACAGAGGGAGAGCAAGAGTAAGAGTCTGAGAGCAGAATAGGGGAAGAGCGAGAGCGAGAGTCGAAAAAAACGTAAGTGTAAAAACGTGATTGCAAATGAGGGGGCATGGGTGTTTTATATAAGTTATAAAAGCGTGGTTTCAATCCACGCTTTCATTTATCAACAGTGAAGGCGTGATTGTGGATTACGTTTTTGTTGGCACTATAAAATATTATTATTATTATTATTTTCAAGATACGTGGCATCCTCTTATTCATTTGGAAGTTAAAAGAAGTTATAGAGATGATGGAGAATATGAAGGACAAACTGGATGAGTGGAAAGACACATGGCAAGACAAGAATGAAAATGGAAGAAATGGGTAGTTACTAAGTAGTTATTACTGTATTTTTTCCTCTATAAATAGCCATTAATGACTACATTGTAAAGGATCCAGAATTCAAATCAAAGATAATTAATTTCAATATTTCTTGTCATTTTCCTTATCTTAGGAGTAGTTTAACATAGATTTATATTTTGAAGTATTTATTTTCAGCATTTTCATTTCGAAGCATTTTATGCACTTCCTTTTCGAAGCATAGGAGCAGATGTAAGTAATTATTACTTTGATTGTTCACTCAATCGTCTTTCTCTGTCCCTTTTTCTTCTTTTACTTTTTCTTTTCTCTACACTTGACAATTTTGAAATCCTCTTCGTTGAGGCAAAAGAACCGTCAACGCAATCGCTTGATAATTGGCTTAAATTTAATCTGTAAGGATTTTTCAATCCTTGCTGGCACGCTCGCAATTACAATAATAACCTTCGAAAGTCAAAAAAGCCAACATATATTTTTTGCACGCCTAGTGGGAGTCAAGTGTAATAAATGAAAAATGAATTGGATTTGTCCATTTCAAATAGCCTAGATGAAATTTATTGGCATAAACAAGAAATTTTGGATCGTCAAGAAGAGATCCATTTTCTTGATGAAATAAATTTTCATCCCTTACAATATTATTTGGTGAAAGAAAAAAAACACCATTTAATTGGAGAAATTCATCAACTTGATATAAAAATTCGCCAATGGAATGATGAGTTATCAACTTTCACTACCAAGTCTTTAACTGAGGCCTTAATGGGCGGAATTGGTGAATTTTTTCAGAATTTTTTCATGGTTAAAAATAGCAAAAGCAAAGAGTTGATTTCATCAATGGCTCGGGGGGTTCAAGAGTCCGTTTTTAAAGAACCAAATTATGAAATTAACATAATGAAAGAGCATGTTCTTGAGCCAAATTTGGCTAAGAATGATGTTCCATGCATGGCTCGGGGGGTCTCAAAACCAATTTTTAGAGAGTCAAGTCATGAAAATAACATATCCATGGGTGATTTTCATAAGCCATTAATGGCTAACATGGAAAAACAATCCACTTTGCCAAATAATTATGAAAATCTATTCGGCAAAAGTTATGTTTTTAAAACAAACATAGTCGAAAATAATGAACAAGCCACTGTTCATGAATTCAAATTTTTTGACATTTTTCAAAATGTCAAAAAGTATGAATTTTCATGGTCACACTATACCATGACTTTTGTTGTTCGAAATCCATTTTGGATTTGTGGATCACATCAAACGTTGACTTTGATGGAATGGCTAACAAATAATATTTCGTTATTGCAATATATTGAGCAAAAAATGTTGTTATTAGTTGATCCATAAAACCATCACCATTTGGTTTTGTGGTTACCTTCGAAGAATGTCTCAAGACACTTCGAAGTAGATTATTCATTGAAATATCATTTTATAGCCATTAATGGTTAGTTAAAATGCCAAACTAATTTCATAATAATCCAACTCTTTGGATTTAGTTCAAAGAGATGTCGTGAGCACTTTCGAATGACGACTTTAATCCTTTAGTAACATATGTGACTTTCAAATGGTGGTTTTGTCATCAATAAACACCTTCGAAATGTAACATGAGTCGAGAAAACTTTCGAAATGTGTACCTCTCTTCAAATATGTAAAATGGTAATTAATTAGTTGTCGAATAATGCCTATTTTTGGCATGATAAATTAGTTCGAAGAACAACAGTTTTGGTATCTTCGAAGAATTAATAATTGGTTCGAAACACAAAATTAATGTTTTCATTAATTATGTATGAATCAGAACATACAAAATTTGAATAACCACAATGTCGGCCAAAAGTTGCTTTGAAAAGTGCCATAATTTTGTAAGCTTCGAAGCACTCCATCTTGCATTAACAGCTTCGAAGAAACAATAATGGTGGTTGTAAACCTTCGACGCTTTACCGAGTATTTCTAATGATGTAATTTGTCCTTTGTCGACACTTTCAACCTTCGAAAGATGATTTTGGTCCTTTACACCACCTTCGAAGCTTGTTACTAGTCCATAATAGCTAGCATTCGAGTCATCTTGTCATAATTTCATGCTCATTTGAAGCACTTTATTGGTGCTATTACATCATTTAAAGCACTTTATTGGTGCTATTATATCATTCGAAGCACTTTGTTGATATTATTCGAAACATTTTATTGCTTAGATTAGTCATGTGCTTGGTTCGGCCCTTCAAACATTCAAGTAAATATCATTTTTAAGGGCCGCGGAGGGTAATGTTGGCACCATAAAATATTATTATTATTATTATTTTCAAAACACGTGGCATCCTCTTATTCATTTGGAAGTTAAAAGAAATTATAGAGATGATGGAGAATATGAAGGACAAACTGGATGAGTGGAAGGACACATGGCAAGACAAGAATGAAAATGGAAGAAATGGGTAGTTACTAAGTAGTTATTACTGTATTTTTTCCTCTATAAATAGCCATTAATGGCTACATTGTAAGGGATCCAGAATTCATAATCAAAGACAATTGATTTCAATATTTCTTGTCATTTTCTTTATCTTAGGAGTAGTTTAACATAGATTTATATTTTGAAGTATTTATTTTCAGCATTTTCATTTCGAAGCATTTTATGCACTTCCTTTTCGAAGCATAGGAGTAGAGGTAAGTAATTATTACTTTGATTGTTCACTCAATCGTCTTTCTCCGTCTCCCCCTTTCTTCTTTTAATTTTTCTTTTCTCTACACTTGGCAATTTTGAAGCCCTCTTTGTTGAGGCAAAAGAATCGTCAACGCAATCACTTGATAATTGGCTTGAATTTAATCTGTAAGGATTTCAATCCTTGTTGGCACGCTCGCAATTACAATAATAACCTTCGAAAGCCAAAAAACCAACAGTTTTCTTAACAAAACAAATACATGCACAGTGAAAGCGTTATTACGAATCACGTTTTCTCAAGAAAACAATATAAAACAGTGAAAGCGTGGTTTAGAACCATATTTTCTTCAGAAAAAAAAATTCAAACAATGTGGATAATAAAATCATGATTTGAAACCAGGTTTTCTTCAAAAAAAATAAATTTATATTAAAAGCGTAGTTTGTAATCACACTTCACTAATTAAAAGCATATGTTTTCATTATTAATCAAATTTTCTGTCCCAAACAATAAAAACATAATTTGTAATAGTACTTTGATCTAATTTAAAAATTCTGTCTAAACTAGGTTTACTTTGATAATTAAGATAGTAAATTGGTTTAATATGGGAAAAGCCTCGCCGTTCGAAGACGTTGCAGTGTTGCCGGCCATTAGTTTCTCTTCTTCTTCTTCTTCACATCAACTGCCTTTTTAACTCCGATTCCAACTCATTTCTTCATAGCTAAAACTGATACAATCTTCTCATGATTCACGTACGCACTCCAAGTCCTCCTTCGAAATGCTGATTATGAGAGGTTGCGTACGAAGCGCGAAGAAGCTGACATGTCTCAGAAATGGAAATTTAGGTTTTGGGTTTTTTCTTTCGAGGAGATGGGTTTCGAACAGTAGTGGTGAAGAAGATCGATCGAGTAGTGGAAAGAGGTTTGCGGCTCTATGGGGAAATGGCGATTACGGTAGATTGGGGCTGGGAAGCTTGGAGTCTCAGTGGCGACCTGCTTTCTGCTCTGCTTTCGCCAACGAAAGCCTCACTGGAATTTCCTGTGGTGGTGCTCATACTCTCTTTTTAACAGGTCTCAGATCGCTTCTTCTTTGTTACATTATTATTGTTATTCAAATGATTTTTGAATCGCTGAACGAATTGTTTTTGTGGGTTTTGATCGATGTATGTTGATTGAGTTTCAAGCGCCCAAATTTCGAGTTGAATTTTGTTTTTTGTTTGATGAATGGGGGTTAATTGGTTGAGAGGCAATGAAATTGATCCTCGAATTGCTTCAGATTTTTAATTTGCTAATTTTATTTCTAGTGAGTCTTGTGCAAATGAAAAATGGTTTGGTTGATTGATAATTGGTTTCTGGTGATGGAATGGTACGGATATATTTTTTATTGGATTAAGTTTTTGTTTGTGTTATTGTTCTTGTTTTTTTGCATTAGTTCGAGGTGATTCATTGTATAAATGTTTACCTGTATGTGCAAATTTCATCAAACCAAAGGGCCAGGCCATGTGAAAGCTGCATATGAAAGTTGTATTCGAAATGTATTTTATATGCAACTAACGTAGTGTTTGGTTGGGGGACCTGGGGAGTGATTTGGAAAGGGAAATGGAAAAGCTGTATAAAACTAGGTGAAATATAGGTATATTTTATTCACAATTTACCTGCCTTTTTCCCTTTCCCTTTCCCTTTCCCTTTCCCTTTCCAAATTCCTCCTCAAATTCCCCAACTCAATACAGCACAAGTGTATATGTATATAATATATGCTTTTGGGAGACCAAATTGGAGTCAAATAATGAAAAAAAATTGTGACCATGTAGTAGGTTCCTTCACAAGAAGGGGATTTACCAATGGCTTTCTACAGATTTCTATGTAAAAGAAGGTATTTTTTTTACGCTTTGTTTGGTTGGGGGATTTGGAAAAGGAAAGGTAAAAGGTAAGTGAAATTAGGTGAAATGTAGGTGTATTTTATTTACACTTCACTTACGTTTTTCCTTTACCTTTCCTAATCCCTTCCCGAATCCTCCAACCAAATATAGCATTAGACAAATGTCATACTTCGGTGAGAGTCTTAGGTGGCCTTCTTTATTTGGTGTGCGGCTCATAGCAAGATCCTTACTATTGACTATTTGATTAGAAAAAGGCAAGTCCATGACAATTGGTGTTGTATGTCTATACATGATGAGGAGATGGTGATTCACTTACTTATCTATCATGAGGTGGTAAAGGAGCTATGGTATTTAGTCCATACCCTGTTTGAAGTTGTGTGGATATTTTCGGACCAAGTTTTGGAGCTTTTGCAGTCTTGGGAAGGAGCTTGAGTGGGTAAAAGGAAAAAGAAGGCTTGACAGTTGTTCCCATTGGCGATGATATGATTGATATGGGGTGAGCGCAGTAGAAGAATATTTTTTGATAGCTTTTTCAGACCTTTTTACTATTTAGAGCTTTTTTGTTTTTGTTTTTTTAGTATTCAAGAATTTTTACTCTATCCTTGAATCAGTTTTTTGAAATTTGTAGAGGCCTTGGAATATATATTTTTTTGTAGAGTTCATAGATCTTTTTTCGTATGTCTTAGGCACCCCCTTGGTGCCCTTTCTTTTATACTATATCATTTTATTGATACAAAAATGTTACAATACATAGTGAGTGTTTGGAAAGTGGGTTTCTTTGTAGGTTTTTTTTAGTTGTAGGATGTTATTGGAGAAATTTTTTTGTGCTTGGGAAGATAGTTGGGTTTTTTTGTAGTTGGATGTGATATTTGTGAGAGAAAAAGTGAAATGATTATGGGGTTTGATGTGATATTTTGTTTGGATTTGTTTTTTTTTTTGGTTTTGTAACCAATTTGTAGTGAAAAAAACAAACAAAAAAAAAAAAAACAAGTTCCCAAACACCGCCATATATTCTTGAAAGAGTAGTTAACATTAAGGCTAGGTTTGGCATCCCCTAAAAAAGCCAAAATGTCAAAAAGTAACTATCCTATTTAAGTTACATCATCTTATTTAAGTCACATCACCTCTCTACCACATCATTTCAAACCCAACTCATATTTCATAAAAAGTTAAAAAGTGCATTTATTTAGAACATCTCAAACAACTCCTAATAGTCTTAATTGGTGTAGTTACCTACTTAATCTGTTATCTCTTTGTTCTATTATAGCCAATATTTCTATCAAATTTAACAGATCAGCCAGTTGATTGTTGGCTATGAAGCTTGGTTATTTCGGTAAACATGCCATACCTGTACCAAGTACTTACTGGGTGCTGGTACTTTGAATTGAAAAGCCTAACCTACATTTCTCCTTAAAACCCAGGTATTAAGGAGAAGGAAACTGGATCTTTATAACCAGTACAGATGGGCAATTCTAGGCGATGTGGGACACATTCCAATACACCCTCCTAGATCACAACATACAGTAGCCGGACAAACGGCACACTAATCACAGGTCTAACCAAGTTCTGATACCAAATTGAAAAGCCCAACCCACCCTTCTCCTTAAAACCCAAGTATTAAGGGGAGAGAAATTGAAGCCTTATAACTAGTACAAATGGGGCAATTCTAGGTGATGTGGGACACAGTCCAGCACTTTGCATGTATCTCTACATACAGGTACACAAAACACATCTAATTTTTTTCCCCTTAATTTTGTTATACCTAGTATATACCTAAGTCGTACCTTAGCCGGAATAGTATTTTCTTTCATGTAGATATGAAGTTAGTTTCACTGGTTTTTTTTTTCATGGTTAACATGATTTTAATTGGTTTTTATTTGTAAGTTATTTAATTTAATGACATTTAATTTTGGTTTATACCTTACTTTTTGCATTAAATGTGAATTGCAAGTTGGCTCCTAACCAACTAAATCATTTAATTAATTTTTGCATTATTTCGAATTAAAAATAAATATTTGTTGTTATGAACTTTCTAGTCATACCTTTACCCTACTTTTTTTTTCTTTTTCTTTTTCTTTGTCTTTCTTTCTTTCTTTTTTTTTAATTAATTTATTTATTTTTTGATAGATTTTACTGTATCGATGTACCCATACTGTACTAGTTCCAATATCCATATCTGTACACATGCTTCATAGATTGTTGGAAAAGGTGTGGACTTCCTGGATCAAGGCAACCAGCCTTTTCTTTTGTTGATTTCCCTGCTTTAAACTCTGCAACTACATATAGTAAAACTAATTTAAACTTGATTGTAGTCTTGCCAAATAAACTTACTAGGATATGCTTGTGGAGTTTTTCCATGGTTTGATCCTTTAAACATTAATTCCAAATTTTATCTGAACTCCAAGGGTTCAATACTGTACAAAATGCACATTACTATACAAGATCCAGGATCATATATTTCACAATAATTTATCACATCTGTCTTCTATGAAAAAAAAAAATTATACATATTGTTTATAAGTTCTGTCTCATCTACTACTGCTTGATTTTGGTTTTTGCTCTTGGTGCCTAGGTTTTGTATTTTATAAATTGATGATGAATTTAAAAGAAATTTAGCTGCAGACAGGGTAGAGGCTTATAAACTGTCCTCAATTTTTTTTTCTTTTGACAGAAACGGGCTGTGTCTATGCCACGGGTCTCAATGATTTTGGACAGCTAGGAATATCAGATGATAAAAGTTATACAATTGTATGCTATCTTGACCCTTTTGTCGTGTTCTCACACCTTTTTCTTTACCTCTTCTTGTTTTTATTTTAGCTCTTATGCTAGTTCAGTGCAAGATTGATGTTGAGATCTTTGCTATTTGTCTTAGTTTGAAGCTTTCACCATCTGTGCTATTTTGTTTTCTTTAATGCTTGTTTTCCCTGTCAATTACATTCAAAAGTTAAAAACTGTAGAACATAGGACCTCGACTGTGGCGTGGAACAAGAATGCTCAGGTGAGTTGCCTTGATTTGAAAGATGGGCACCATGTATGGTATATGAAAGCATTCACCCTTTTTGCTTGCAATTAGTCCTTTCTAATAAGGAAAGTTGCTTAATGTTCAATTATTATTCATGTGAAGGTCTTGTCAAATTGTATCTGCAATGAAATCAAATTTATGGAATGTAATTGCAATGTTTGTGATCATGGTCGAAGAGCATGCAAGTTCTAGATTTATATGGCCTTCATCCACATTCATTTTAATTTTAGTACATGAGCAAGAATATGTGTTTACTCCATAACACTAAAGAAGAGTTTGTTGAAAAAAGAAGCTAACATGAGCTTTGCAATTTGATTTGTGGCCTTCTGCTATGAGCTTATTTAGGCTGGACTATGCTAGTAGAGTTATATGATGGTATGAGTTTGTCACAACCTGCTCTTTATAGAAATTAATTGATTTTAAGATTTCACATGGTAGTTCAATCCATACTATTTTTTTATTGGGTTCTAATTAGGATGCGCACATAGTGGCATGCATAGTTTATTTACTAATTAGGTAATCAAGGCAAGTCGATAATTACGTCCATATGCTTTAAGAAATCAGGGGTGCAGCCACCATCAGTTACTTTATATTTTGGTGGATCTCTATAATCTGGTTATGGGTGTCATATCCAGCTTCATACATATTTCCTAGAAGCTGCTTATTCTATTATTAAACAAAGTTTATTCTGACCCTACTTTTATGAAGTGGCATGAGTTGGATGTGGTGTGTCTGTTATGCATAAGTCTTACTTTTGTTGGTTTTCATGTGTGATGGGGGTTGGTAAGTCTATGTTCTGAGTTGTTGGTTGGGGAGTTGTATAGTATCCACTGTATTATTAATCACTAAGAAACTGAAATATGAAAAATGTTTATAAATATGTTGCTCTTAGATTTTCTGTTTATTTTGGTTAATTTCACTCACTATCTTCTTTGACTATTTTAGTACCAATAAAAAAGAAAAAGAGATGTGATTGTTTAGATTCTTATTTGTAATGTTTCCAATGGAGTTCCTTTTGAATTGACCATGTAAGCTGGTTGTATTATTAATGCAGGAGCCCCTCAAAGTTTCTAGACTTCCCAAGGAAATTATTAAAGTTTCTGCTGGTTATCATCACTCCTCTGCCATTACAGGTTCATATTTCTTGCTGGATACTTCATTTATCATGGTTTCATGGGGGCCCGAGAATATTTACATGTTTTTCAGTCTGTGTTCACTATTCCAGCTACTTTATAGAATATGTCTTTCAGATGTATGATAGTTAATATCTAATCGGTGCTGTAAGCTTGTGTCCTGTTAATATTATTTTGAACTCCCTTTCCTTCCAGTGTAAAATGCTACATATGCAAATTAAATCTATTTTCTAGTTTCTGTTTTTGACTTCTCACTTATTCAAGTCTACTTTACACTCAAGAGCTACCCATCTCTGATTATTAAATTATTACTGTATCTCTTAATGCCTAATGGATTCCTGTCATAGGAGTCATGATTCTTGTTCAACTTATCAGAGAAGATCTTGAAACATTTATGTACATTTGGAAAGTGTTATAGTCCTTCTGTAACATATATTGTATAGAAGTCAAAATATCATAGAAGCACATATCTCAATGAAGGCAAGAATATGCTACACCAAGGAAAAAATTGCAGAATGTCTCTATTATACCTTCGACATCAGAATGCATGCAAATAAACTTTTTACAAGATTTGTGTGGTTTGTAAGCATGTATAAGTCTTTCATAAATGCTTATTTGAAAAGCAGGTGGTACAAGCTGAAATTTTTACTGTGACACTTGCATCCGTCAAGAGGTGCTTAGAATTTATAGCAAATAGAGATGTATTCCACACAAGCATTTATAAAAGATGTATTCCACGCACACAGATGGGCACATATGGTTTATAAGTTGTATTTTCGTTAAATTTCTGTTTGGTTGGAAGGTGTTAACTTGGCATATACTTCTTCCCTTTTTCTCTTTTTCTTTGTTTCTTTTGCCTTATTTTTCTTTTCTGTGGAAGTCATGGATATATAGCAAATAGAGATGTATTCCACACAAACATTTATAAAAGATGTATTCCACGCACACAGATGGGCACAGAGGGTTTATAAGTTGTATTTTCGTTAAATTTCTGTTTGGTTGGAAGGTGTTAACTTGGCATATACTTCTTCCCTTTTTCTCTTTTTCATTGTTTCTTTTGCCTTATTTTTCTTTTCTCGTTAAATTTTTCTTTTCTGTTATTTATTTTACTGAGTTTACTTTTATTCATTTTTTGTTAGATCATGTTTCTGTAAGTGTACATATTTTCTTCTTCAGTTTCCTTATTGCAATAATTTATATATCTTTTTGTAGGAGATGGGGAGCTTTACATGTGGGGCAAGAACTCAAACGGACAGCTTGGGCTTGGAAAAAGTAACAACTAAATATGTACCCTCATCTTAATTGTGTTATGACAGACTGTATAGTTTATTAGTTTAATTGGTTTTCTCTCTTGGTGGTTCTTTGGACTGCCTATATGTGTTCAAATTCCCATTTTGTGATACCTTGGGTTGTTTGTTTTATCACCTTGGGCTGAGGATGTCGAATGAGCTAATCTATAGTCGTCTGCTTTGTCCACATTATAGGGTCAAATCAAAAATTGCCTTAAGCATTGTTGATTTTTCCTAGCCGTAAATTTGTTACTTATGAAATTATTTAGGCAGGAAGTAAGGACGGACATGAAAGTGGAAAGTTTTCATAGATTTTTTTCTTTCTTTTTCTTTATTTTTTTTTATTTTTTTTATTAGGTAATGCGATTGAATTTCTTAGGGATGCCGTTTTTTTTGTTCATCTATATGTTGCAGAATAATTCTCTACATGTTTGATGTAAAATCATCTATGGAAATCCTAATGTCATTATGTAGATGTCTAGTTCTATGTGTGTTATGCAAGTCCCATTGTTTCCTATATGGGAATGCTTTTCAATCACTTTGATAACCATACTTATACAACTGACCTTGTCTACGTTTGTGCTCCTTAATCATATGTTTTTCTCTAAGCATTTATAATTTCTTTGGAATTACAATCTGAAGGCCTTGAAAATAAAATTTTCAAATGAGTTATACTTTGTATTGGTCTGCAGAGGCAGCAAAAGTAGTTACTGCACCTAGGAAAGTTGAATGCTTGACTGGGGTCACTATCAAAATGGCAGCTTTGGGTTGTGAGCACTCAATTGCTGTTACAGGTTTGAGATTTGAAATATTTCTTACCTTCAAATGCATTTTGATTTTCCAGTTACAATATTTCGTAGGTTCTGTCAGTAATGCTAGAGAGTTGTGTAGTCTTTATTTTACATTGATTAATGTGTATGTTTTTATTTTCCAGATAAAGGTGAGGCCTTAAGTTGGGGAGGAGGGGGGTCTGGAAGGCTTGGTCATGGACATGAACGAAGCATGTTGGGCTTTTTAATGAGTACCAGGTTCTTTTAAATGTTTTATAATCTCTAGTCTTTTGCTAATATGAATTTCTGTAATTTTAGGCAAGTTGAAACTAGTTTTTTACCCACAGCACACGTTTGATACATAATGCATATATGGTGGATTGAAGGATGTATCGGAACTCTTATTATAACATTCAAGTGTATCTACACTCATATTTTTACAAAGTATTATTTTGTGTAAAGCAATAGAGAAGTGAAGATTGGATTTTAAGAGATAACAAATAGTAAACTTTAGCATTATTTAGATTTAATTATTAGCCAGGATGGAGAGATTGGAGATGATGTGATCTATAGAATCAAAGTAGGTCAGCTCAAGTGGTTTTTGGCATATTGTGTGATTGAAAAGTACCAATAACATTGAAAGAAAAATTCAATAGAGTTGCTATACAAACAACGATGCTTTACAGGACAAAATGATGAGTATTAAGAAACATGTTCATAAAATGAGTGTAGCTGAGCTAAAGATGCTTAAATGGATATATGGTAAGACTAGGAACGACAAAGTTAGAAATGAATATATATTTTTTAATTTTTTTTTTTGATGACTGGGTGTCCGAGCTAGTTAACATGCACCTCAACTAATTGTGGGACCCACGCAAAGCGTCTCCTTCACGTGGATCGGACAAATCTTGGGCAGAATCCGCGGGCATGGCCCCAAGAAGTTGAACGCACCTAGTGGAAGTTGAACCTGAGACCTATTGTGTCACGACCAAACCAGATAAACAGATTCGAACTCTGAGAGAGCCTGTAGCAATGCTACCAAAGGTCATTTTATGATATTGTAGCCATTTTTTTTTCTTTCTTTCCCTTCTGCCCTTCTAGGGTGAGATACAAAAAATTAAGGTTGCGTTTGGTAGAGCTTTTTAACTATGATTTGAAAGTATGAGTTGTATTTTGAGTTTGTGAGTTTTGGAATTATGATTTGAGTGTGAAAAATCTGTTTGGTGAAAGAGTTTTGAAAAGAGTTTTGAATTGAGTGGGGAAATTTTTGATGTGACATTTGATATTTGATACAAAAACTTACAACTTATAACCAAACATACAACTCAAAATTTTATTAAAGCATATAAATTTTTTTAAAAAATTCAGAAAAATATTTTTTTCGAATATATAAAAATTAACATATCAATTGCAAAAAAAAAAAAAAAAATTGCACTGTTCCGGTCAACCAGCCGGATGACCGGTGGGACGACCGGTTAAGCCAAATTTCAAAAAAAAAAAAAATTGAAAATCGCGCTCTCAAACAGAGTTTTCTGCAGAGTTGTGAAAAATTAATTCCACATACCTATCCAAACATCGTATTCAAATGTGGGAGTAGAAAACTCGTTTGGAAATCGTTCCAAACAGAGCCTAAATAAGTAATATATTAGGTGAGTTTTTAATAATCTTGTTTAGTACTTAAAATTGAGGCCTGGTTTGGAAAGTTGGCTATTTTAATAGGCTATTTTAATTTTTGGCTATTTTAGTAGGCTAAAATTTTTGTGTTTGGAAAGATTGTTTGATTTTTTTTAGTTGAATGTGATGTTTGTGAGAGAAAAAGTGAAATAATTATGAATTTGATGTGATATTTTGTCTTATTAGCTATTTTAGCCTATTTTGTCTTTTTGTGGATTTTAGTCCAAAATAGGCTAAAATAGCTCTTGCTAAATAAGGGCCTGAATGTATTAAATGATAATCAATTAAGCTCGTTTGATAACCATAATTAATATCACTTAAAAATTTAAGTATCTTTTAAAATGTAGGTTAAAACTTAAGAAAATTTTAAGACATATAAAACTTATTTAATTCTAACTAAATTTATAAATACCAAATATAAGTATCGATATACACTATTATAAACTCATTACCACCGCTACCGTTACCACTATCACCACTATCATGTCACCGCCACTACCACCACCATCACCATCATGCCGCCACCACCACTACTACTGCTACAATCACCTTCATTGTCATTGTCACTGTTGTTATAAACACCACTATCATTTTACTACCACTACCACCGCCGCCGCCACGGCAATCAACGCCACCAGCATCAACACTACCGCTGCCATCATTGCAACCACCATCAACTCTAGCACCACCACTACCACCACCACCATTACAATATAAAAATTGAAATATACAATTTGAAAATAATAAATTTTAAGAAATAACATGTATATAAGATGAGGGTTGTTAAGATGAGGATGCTAAGGTGGATATGTGACAAGATTAGAAAATACAGAGTTAGGAATGAGTATATTCCTGAATGGATAGGGGTAGTACTGATAGAAGATAAGTTGAAACAGAATATATTGATATCTAAGAAGTATGAACACGTATATGTGACATGACATGAATATGACACGGACACGCCGACACGTTAATTTTAAAAAAAATACAAGACACGACATGTGGGGGACACGCATGAAATATATAATTTTATACATTTATTATATGTTATATATATGAATATATCATCCAAAGATAATAAAAAATATAATACGATACTAATTCTTATAAATTTATATGGTTTTTGTTTTATTATTGTATCTTAAGTTGTTTTGTTCAAACTTATAATTAGTTTTACATATGTTTAGAGAAGATGAGTGTTGCAGAAATGAGGATGTTAAGGTGGATGTGTGGCAAGACTAGAAAAGATAGAGTTAGGAATGAGTATATTCGAGAATGGGTAGGAGTAGTACCAATAGAAAATAAGTTGAGAGATAATAGATTGAGATGGTTTAGTTATATACAACGGAGATCAACAAAGGAAGTAGTGAAGAGATACGATATAATGACAGTAGATGGTAGTGTTAGGGGAAGAGAAAGACCTACATTGACGTGGACTAGTGTAGTAAATAGAGATATGAATCTCCTTAATTTGACTAACGAAATGGCCTTGGATAGAGTTGAGTGAAGAAAAAGGATTCATGCAGCTGATCCCATTTGATGGGACTTAAGATTTGGTTTGGTTTGGTTTGGTTTATATGTCTAATCGATAGACACGTGTTTAAGCAATTATCATGTGTGTCCTCCAAGTGTCTAAAGAGTATCCAGGTCTTTAAAAAAATTTTAAAAATAAGACACGTTTTGAAGAGTGTCGGACACATGTCCTAAGAGTGTCCAAAGAATGTCGATGTTCGACACGGACATAACACGGATACGTCATCTTGTTAGAAGTGTCTGTGCTTTTTAGATGGAGATAGTTTAGTCATATACGATGGAGACCAACAGAGGCAGTAGTGAAGAGGTGCGATGTATTGACGGTAGACCTAAAGTGACATGGGTTAGTGTAGTAAATAGAGATATAAATTTTCTTAATTTGATTAACTAGATGGCTGTTGATAAAATTAAGTAGAAAAAAATGATTCATATAGCCGACCCCATTTGATGGGACTTAAGGCTTGGTTTGGTTTAGTTTTTTAGCTTAAAAATTCAGCATTCAATTGTCAATATTAATTTTCAGTTTTCAGTTTTCAACTTTGTCAAACACCACCTAGCTCTGTAACGCAGTGATCCCGTTCCCAAAATATGATGTGATAAATATGCAAGTCTGATACTACTTGTTTCCACAATGTAAAGACCAACAAAAATTACATCTTCTATTAATATGACAAATCCAAAAAGAAGGTTTCACGAGCAGTCTAAAAGAGTCTCCAGAAAGTCACGCACATGATCATTTAATCTCAGTGATCTGAAAAATGTAAGTGAGGGGTGAGAGGTAAAAGCCAGTGAGATAGTCTTATAACAAGGCTAGAGGGTTACATGGATATCTCAGTTTACATATCTGATGTTGGTATAGAAAACATCTAGCTTTTCCAAAATCCATATCCTTGTACATAGTCTGTTATTTAGAAGGGAGTTATAATCATGTAATATAACAAATCGGTGTACAAATCCAAATATCATGCCACAAATCCGTATATGATGTACAAATCTATATATCATGTACATCCATGTCGAGTAAATTAAAATTCTGCTTTCTCTGTTACGTTTTCACCTTTCCTTCAGTGCACTCATGGAATTTAGCTTGGTTTTCAGCATGTAGTATGTAAATATCTTACTTATGGTTAGCTACATTTTCACGGAGTTCTCATTCTTTTGCAGTGAATACACCCCAAGGCTTATTAAGAAACTTGAAGATGTCAAGGTATTTTATGTTGGTGAGGGTTTCTATTGCTGTTTGACTATGTTATCTCTAAAAGAATATGCCAATTATCAGTTAGGAGTTGCCTCATTAACTGGTGGTCTATATTTTGCTCCACTAAATATGCAAACACAGGTCAAAAGTATCGCTGCAGGGATGTTGCATTCAGCATGCATTGATGGTATATAATTAAATATTGCCATAGTTGATGCTTTTTTTATATTGAAATTTCTCTTCACTGCTTTAAAATTGTCTGATTTTGCAGAAAATGGTTCTGTCTTCATATTTGGTGAGAAAGCAGTGGATAAACTGGTAAGTAGCAGAATTAACGTGTTAGTAAGTTCTAACTATATCACATATAGATTCTTTGACTACATAATCCTATCTTGTATCAGAATCCATCTGATTGGTGTTGATGTTTTAATTAAAAAATAAAATATTCTAGGGCCAGCAAGCAAAGAATGCAACAACACCATCCATGATTAGCCAACTGCCATTTTCCGAAGAAGTTGCGTGTGGTGGTTATCACACGTGTGTCCTTACAAGTAATTCTTTATCTCATTCTTCAATTTGTTTTTGTCATTGTTTTGTTCCCCCTATAGAATGATTATAAGGTTATGTACCTAGGTGTTGATAGAACTAAAAAGTTAGTGCAAATATATATATATTGATGAATTGGTTATGACATTTTTAAGTAGCCGAATTTAAGGATTGGTTACTAGTTTTCCAAAACACTTTTCAGAAAATTCTATTTTCTTATTTTCCGTATTTTTTTGTTTTTACTAAATTTTTTTAATATTTTAAGCAATTTTTTTACTTTTTAAACACACCTAACATAAATACACCTAAAAAGTAAAAAAAATGTAAAAAAAATCTTTTAAAAATTCACTAAATATCAAAAATACAAAAAAATACAAGAATTCAGTACATTTTTTGTATTTCTATGTATTTATTAATTTTTTAAAATATTTTTTCACAAATTTTTTACTTTTTAGATACCTCTAACTAAGGTGCATCTAAAAAAGTAAAAAAAAAGTTTAAAATTTAAAAAATATTCACTAAAAACAAAAGAATACGAAAACCAAAAAACTCAATTTTCAAAAAACTTAATCCAGAAAATTCAAACCAAACACACTGATTGATTAAGATCAAATTCTTCACCTTCCACGTGTTTCAGTGAGAAGCCAGATCCCTCTAACTTAAAATTTATAGTCCTTTTTTCCAAGGACCGCTCAAGGTGAAAGCCAATGAAGTAGTGGCTTTATGCCCAAAGAGGCCCTGATGAAAATCATGGAAAGAAGGAAAAGGACAAATATGGAATTTCATATGAAACATGTTCGGGGCATCAAGGATTGAAGTTTTGGAATAATTTTGAGTTTTTATTTGTATTTATTATAATTTATTATGTTACTATTATTATAGTAGGTTTTATTTCTTGGGGGTATTATGATAAATTCAATAATTGTTAGACCTCCATGGGTGTTTTGTGGGTCAAATAATGTTATTTGAATTTTATTTGGAATCCTAGTTGGTTAGAATATTAGTAGTTACCAAATATTCATAGTTTCTAAATTTGAATCCTAATTCTTATAGAAGTAAAGGAGTCTTTAGCCTATAAATGTATGTGTAATCTCAATGATACAAAAAAGAGTTGATATTATGAAAATTTGAGATTGTGTTTGTGTGATTGGCCTAACCCATGTGAGGGTGAAGCACCTCTTCCCCTCTCTTCTTCTACTCCTTGTCTTTCTTACTATTCATAGCCCTCTAAAAGTGCATTTTTTAGTCCAAAAACCCTATCCAATCACCCCAAATCAACCCTAATCCCTTCTCTTACCTATTAGCCTTCAATACATATTCTAGGTGTACTCCTGAAATCCCAGATTTGCCTTCTTTTTTTTTTCTCCTTTTTTTTACATGCTCATCATCAGGACCCCTTATCTGTGTTATTTATAAGGAGCTACATCTGCTCATATTAATCCTTCCACAACTTGGATGCAACCTTGGAACATACAATAAAGTTTGAACTGAGTCATAAGATTAAAAGTGAGCCTCTTTGTTTTTTCCTAAGGTGCACATACATTTCCACAATTTAGCAGCTGGATCTTTGAATGCTGAAGTTACTTGACTTGATAACATCAAATTATAGTTGGATTAAAAAGAGCATGCCGGTTCGTTCATTAAAAAAAAAAGTAAGAAGAAGATAAAAAAAGGGTGGCAATGAACATTCTTGCTTCATAGTAAGATCTTACGTATTTCAAGTTATATGTGGCTACTTTCCTTCTATACTAGGTGGTGGAGAACTATACACATGGGGCTCAAATGAGAATGGCTGTCTCGGTATCGGGTATCTTCCTTGCAAATAAATCCCAAAAAGCACCGTTTGGAAAAAATTGTTGTTCTTATTCTGCCTGCATGTTATGTCAGTTTATCATGTGTTTGTGATATTCATTTGTTGATTCCTTGTCTTAAATCAGCTGTACAGATGTCAGTCATTTACCAGAAAGAGTTCAAGGTCCATTCTTGAAACATCCTGTTTTCCAGGTTGGGAACACTCCTGATTCCACTAACATTTTTTGGGTGTTCATGATTGCTTCACTTATGTGAATTTCTACCAATTAAATATCACTTCAGATTCCACAAAGATTCTGCAGTTGGTTATTAGATATTTTCCCATGGAAATTAGTAAATTATTTTAGGATACATATTTGAGCTGATAGTTTGGCTTGATTCCTTGAATGCTCCATTTAGTTTTAGAGGCTCATAAGATCAGTAAAATTATCATTAGGTCGGCAAATATGACCTTGGTAATAGAGATATTCTGACCAAAATTTTAAATTAATTTTTATTTTGTATTGTACTTCTAATACATTTTTTATTACCAGGTATCGTGTGGATGGAAGCACACAGCAGCAATTTCTGGTAAGAATGTTTTGCAACCATTAGACATCCTAGAGAATCCTTTTGGAATAGCGTTTCCTCAATTTCTCAACATATGATATTGCAAAAACATTCCATCCATGTAAGATTAACAGGTGGATCATATTCTTGTCATAAAAAATGGAGGCCCAAAAATTGTTTTGAAAGGCAAGTCAGGCTTCTCTTGTGATAGCCATAATGCTTAATAGCGAGCTGAATCATTATCATATTATTTTGACAAGATTTGTGAGTTTTTAGCATGAATTGTTTATCCATTCTAATCCTAATGCAATCTATTTTATATGTTTTAAAATTTTCATTAACTAAAAAGCTTTAGTTAGTTCTTAGTTTTAGTTACATTAATGTTTATTTCTTTTTTTTGGTTGTCGGTATACATAACATTAGCACAAAAATGACGTTATATTTCTTCACCTAGGGATCATGGCTTTCTTGTCTGATGGGAGCTCAAAAGTTCCTCATCTCATCTTTGTCTATCCTGAGATTCTTCCAGACTCCTAGGCAAGTTTGAGTAGACAATTGTCCACCCGCACCCCCAATACTCCAAACACACACATGCATAAAGAGAAGAAAGGAAATACAAAAAACAACATACAACAAATGACAAACAACAAAAAACTCAACTCAACAAGCCTTTGTCCTGATTTCCTAGATTGGCCAAGTGGATCTGTTTTCTCCCAATTAACTTTTTAGATAATAAACTAAATGACTCAATATGTTTATTTAGTAGTTCCTCCATTTTGCTCAGATAATAAATATCTGGCAATTTATCTTTCTGCTGCAAAATATTATTGAATTCATATGAAAATGACTTGTGTCATAATGCTGGTGAAATGACGAGTGATAATTGCTGACATGCAGAAGGCAATGTTTACGCATGGGGTTGGGGAGGTTCACATGGAACATTTTCTGAAGACGGATATTCTTCTGGTGGACAACTGGTTTGCTTCTATCCTATATTTGGTACAATATTCATATTTTATATAATTGCAAAAAAATTGACAAACTCTTTAGACAAATTTAATAAGTTGACAAAACTATATTTAAAAAGCAAGCGGTAATTGAGAACCATGAAATATGGGTGCAGCTGCATTTAATATGTAGGAATGGTTTGTCAAACTACATAGTACAATTGCATTGAGATGTAGTTTCTCCTTCATTTAAATTGGAGTCATGTCTGCCAATTTCATTTATTAGTTGGTGCGGGTTCAAAATTTGGTGTGTAACATCAAAATTTAGTGCAAAATTGTGAACTTTTTGAATAAATATTTCACAAACTGTTTTGGCGGGGAAAAAAAAACGCGCTAATAAATTATGGGATTACATCTAATTGAAGAAATATAAAGGCATTATCATTCCTGTTACATGTTTGGATACAATTGAAAAGCCCAACCCACACTTCTCCTTAAAACTCAGGTATTAAGGAGAGGGAAACTGGAACCTTAAAACTAACACAGATGGGGCAACTCTAGGCGACGTGGGACACATTCTAGCACATTTTCCTAGACCACAACATACAATAGTTGGACAAACGGCACACCAGTTACAGGCCCAACCAACCTCTGATACCAAATTGAAAAGCCCAGCCCACACTTTCCTAGACCACAACATACAATAGCCGGACAAACGGCACACCAGTCCCAACCAACCTCTGATACCAAATTGAAAAGTCCAGCCCACACTTCTCCTTAAAACTCATGTGGTAAGGAGAGGGAAAGTGGAGCATTATAACTAGCACGGATGGGGCAACTCTAGGCGATACGGGACACATTCCAACAAAAATTGCCAATATCAATGCTTGTCTTTTCTCAAATGTCATTTCTCATTTAAGTGGAATTTGTCTTCTCTTCTTTTTCTTTGCTTTAATCAAATATTTGATTTTGTTTTTCACTCTTACATATCAATTTGTTTGTTGGGAGGTCATTTTTGTTTTTAATTTTCTTTTAATGATCATCATCTACGTTTCTAGGTTAAAATTTTTCATTCCTTGGCTTCATCAATCAACTGCGTCACTAATGCTTCGAATCCCTCACTTAAGATTTGGGTTCAAGTCTCCATAGCTCCTTATTAGGGTTAAACTTACTCTTTAGCACTTGTAGCACACGGGGGCCTAAGCTTTGGCCCTGACGTAGGTGCGGTAGGGTTCCCTGCAGATATGCTGTAGGTGTTAAGGGGCAATACTCCCTTGCGGATACGTTAGAGTAGCCTATCTGCATATCCATTTATGAATCAAAAAAAAAAAAAAAACTACATCACTAATGAGTAATGAATAACAATTACCTCATCTTGCATGTGGCTAGTCAATGTATCTATTACTAGATATACAATTTGAGGGCCTAATGTTAGCTGCTATTTTAGACCACAGTTATTGAAAATGTAATGGTATCTTTTCTGTTGCTATATTTTGGGGTTCTATTATAATATTCTGATTACTTAGGTGTCCCTAGGGATGCATAGTGATGCAAACAAATCAGAAATTGGTGCTGAGCCGGCATGTTTAACTGCCAGTCTTCTTTTTTCCTTTTTTCCTTTCCCCTCTTTCATTGGCTATGTATCTGAAGCGTAGAATTATTTGTACCAACATTCAATTAAGCTAGAGGTTGTGATTGCTATTGAGAGATAAGTGCATGATCACACAGTTTGCCTTGTGGTGGAATTTTCTTTGACACGAAGCAATTTTCATAATGCTAACTCTCTCTCTCTTCTTTTATCTGAAAGGAACTCTGTTCACTTCTCAAGATTTGGGTTCAAGTCTCCATAGCTCCTTATTGGGGTTAAACATACTCTTTAGCACTTGGAGCACACGGGGGCCTAAGCTTTGGCCTCGACGTAGGTGCGGTAGGGTTCCCTGCAGATATGCTGTAGGTGCTAGGGGCAATACTCCCTGGCGGATATGTTAGAGTAGCCTATCTGCATATTCATTTATGAATCAAAAAAAAAAAAACTACATCACTAATGAGTAATGAATAACAATTACCTCATCTTGCATGTGGCTAGTCAATGTATCTATTACTAGATATACAATTTGAGGGCCTAATGTTAGCTGCTATTTTAGACCACAGTTATTGAAAATGTAATGGTATCTTTTCTGTTGCTATATTTTGGGGTTCTATTATAATATTCTGATTACTTAGGTGTCCCTAGGGATGCATAGTGATGCAAACAAATCAGAAATTGGTGCTGAGCCGGCATGTTTAACTGCCAGTCTTCTTTTTTCCTTTTTTCCTTTCCCCTCTTTCATTGGCTATGTATCTGAAGCGTAGAATTATTTGTACCAACATTCAATTAAGCTAGAGGTTGTGATTGCTATTGAGAGATAAGTGCATGATCACACAGTTTGCCTTGTGGTGGAATTTTCTTTGACACGAAGCAATTTTCATAATGCTAACTCTCTCTCTCTTCTTTTATCTGAAAGGAACTCTGTTCACTTCTCAGAAATTATATGATATCTACTGTTCTCTGCTTGCTTTCTAGTTGTATAACTACCTAACAGTAATTGGTTTTGCATGCAGGGTCAGGGAAATGATGTTGACTACATTGAACCTGCACGGATCAACTTTGGCAAGAATGTGAAAGCATTGCAAGTATCATGCGGATTCAATCATACAGGTGCCATACTTGAATACACTTGAAATATAGATGCACCTTCAGCAAAAAAGCATTTTTTTCTCTCTTTATTAAGGCCATTGACCTGGTTCCCAGATTGTTTTTAGCCATCTTTGCAGAGTCACATTTTACTAAATCAGAAGTGATTGAGACCCCCCTCTACTTTCCCCCCACCCCCACACACACGTGGGGGTTGATTATAGGAAGAAGAAAAAGAAAAAGAAAAAAAAATTCTGGCCAATCAGACCCCACTGGGGATCCTGAGGGTCACCCCCAATGGGGGTCTGGATCATTTTTCTTTACTAAATCCACAATCTATACATATTATACTGTCCAGAAATCACTAGGATGGAACTGAATACAAAATAAAGTCAATAATATAGTAAAATTTTCTTGCAAGTCTATTGTAATAGAACATTCAGTAGAAAAAAGGAACCTGTAGTCTATTGTAATAATATTTCATACAGTGGATGTGGTTGGTTATCAGTATTGAATTGGTTGTTATCAGTCTGGATTTTTTCCCCCAATCTCTTTTCCTTTGTTTCTTGGTTGAAATATCTGTGTCTTCTATTGTTGCTTCTTGTATTCTGATATCAAGACCCAAAAGAAAAGGATGAAACTATGCAAGAATTTGCCCTATCGAGTAAGGCCCGTCCTAATAGCTTATGGGTGGCCGCATGCTCGTTGGAAGCAGACCTATTTGGGAACTAAGCAATGCGCACCCTGCTTAAAATTTACAGCCATTAAGGTTGTACCCATAAAGTTTGCTCCGACCTTGTCAGCCTCTTCTGATTCAGTAGTCGTCCATGAAGCTTCTCACTTCGATCCCTGTATTCTGACGATTTTGTTACCAACAACCAAGGGCTGATGAGATGTAATGCTGCTTTTTATACATAAAAACACTCGGATCTAAAAACTATGATATGCAATGTATTTGTTTCTGGACTAAGCAATACTTGGGATTCAATGTACAAATCTTGAATAATAGGTAAAGACAATCAAAATAATTCTTTAAGGATGTGCAAAAGCTGTTGATCTTGTGTCCTAAATAGATGCGAAAAAATGGTTTTCATATATTTAAGAAAGTGAAATCTAAAAAAAATACAAATTTATAAAAAAAAATAAAATCCCGCAAGCTTGCTAGGGGTTGTTACACAGATTTATTTAGACATACATCATTTAAGTGAATGGTTACTCAAAATATTATTACTTGTAAATAACGAAATATCTTGATTTGAATTAGTGGAAATCAAAATAATAAAATTCCAAATAAACAAAAACTCAACTCTGTACAAAATCCAAAATTTTTTAGGAATGAATATAAGACTACTTTTCAAATATAAGTATTTACTCTAAGGAAAGATATGTGACACTTTGATTTAATAATTTTGGCAATTTATCTTAGGTTATTTAGTTAAAACTCCCTTTGTGGGGTCTATTTTTAGTGAAAAATGATAGCCCCAACCATTTTACTTTGTAAACCTCAAAGTAGTGTTTCCTTTCTCGAGGACAGAAAAAATAAAAAAAAAATTATTCACTTTGCTTAGTTCCCATTTTTTAAAAACAGTTTTTAAAAAATTTTATACTTTTATTTTCCGTGTTTTTTTGTTTTTACTGAATTTTTTAAATATTTTATGCAATTTTTACTTTTTAGACACACCTAATATAAATACACTTAAAAAGTAAAAAAAATTGTAAAAAAAATCTTTTAAAAATTCATTAAATACCAAAAATATAAAAAAATACAAGAATTTAGTACATTTTTTGTATTTTTATGTATTTTTAAATTTTTTAAAATATTTTTTCATAATTTTTTTACTTTTTAGACACATCTAAGTAAGGTGCATATAAAAAAGTTAAAAAAATGTTTAAAATTTTAAAAATATTCACTAAAAACAAAAAAATACGAAAATCAAAAAATTCAATTTTTAAAAAACTTAATATAGAAAATTCAAACCAAACACAGTGATTCGTATTTTTTCATGTATGACCTTGCTCTCCAATATTATTCACTCTTTTCTCTTTATCTAAAGCAACTTATTATTCTTGATAATTCGATGCACATCTGTATGTAAAATCCATGTGTTGTTTCTAGATTTTCATCATTTTTTTAGAACCTATTTTAGAACAATAATAAGTTGTTTTTATCTTTTATAAACTTCTTTCAAATGTTCAATACACAAATACATATACATCTTATACATGCATATGTAAATCTATACATATTCATATGCATATACACTGAATTTATTAGATTGTTGTTCATTCTGTTGTTGTTCAAGGTAGAGTTGGAATTGCATTCAATCATTGTATGATATATGATAAATCTTTGTTTGTTGTGGTTGCTCTTGTAACATGTATTATGTTTTTTTTGGTTGATGTCTTGTTCAAATAAGGACGGTAAATTTTTACTCCGGTAACGTGTTTTTGTGTGATTTATTTGTGAACTCATAATGAAGATATGTTTTTCTAATTTATTATTATGTTCCAATTGAACTCGTAGTGATGATGATGGTATTTTACTATTTAAATGTTAAAAATTTAAAGCAAAATTTATTATGAATCAGAGTAAAATTTTAATGTGAAATAGAGTAACATAGATCTTATTTGATACATCTTGACGAAAAGATTATAAAGATACTAATTTTGTTAAAAAATATCTAAATCAAAAGTTATATTATTTTAAAGTTTAAAATATTGAATTACTCATTGGGGATATTATTTTGATAATAGTGGTTTGTGCTGAAATTTTTAAGATTTTTTTTGTGTGTGTTTATTCTTAATATATTGAAATTTTATTGTGAAGGGATTTTGATCAAATTCCCATAAAATCAAGTGTCATTCACCATGTTTGATTTCCGAATTTTTTTAGAAAATTAAGTTTTTTTATTTTTCGTATTTTTTTATTTTATTTTAGTGAATTTTTTTAATATTTTACATAATTTTTTTATTTTTTAGATCCACTTAATTTGAATAAGCTTAAAATTTTGTGGGAAAAAAAAACTACTTAAGAAATTCACCAAATACACAAAAATTTAATATATTTTCGTATTTTCTAATACTCAATGAATCTTTTAAAAATTTTTGTACAATTTTTTTACTTTTTAAGTAGCATAAGATTAAGTGAATCTAAAAATTAAAAAAAAAAATAAAATATTTTAAAAAATCATTAAAATATGACGATACAAATTCAAAATTCAAAAAACTATTTTTAAAAATTCAAAACCAAACAAAGTGATTCACTCCGTTTGGTTTCCATTTTCGGAATTCACTTTTTAAAAAATTATACTTTTTTGTTTTCCATATTTTTTTTTTTGTTTTCACCGAATTTTTAAAAATATTTAAGTAATTTTTTTAATTTTTAGACACACCTAACATAAATATACTTAAAAAGTAAAATATTTGTGAAAAAAAATCTTTAAAAAATTTACTAAATACCAAAAATATTTTAAAAATCAATATATTTTTCATATTTTTGTATATTTATTAATTTTTTAAAATATTTTTCTATAAATATTTTACTATTTAGATATATCTAAGTAAGATGCATCTAAAAAAATAAAAGATTGATTAAAATTTTAAAAATATTCACTAAAAAAAATGAAAAATAAAAAAGACTTAGGGCTAGTTTGGCATGTACTAAATAAGCTAAAAAGTTAAAAAGTCACTATCTTATTTAAGTCACATCATCTTATTTAGGCCTAGTTTGGGAAGACTAAATAAGTGCACTTTTTGACTTTTTATGAAATATGGGTTGGGTTTGGGTTGGGTTTGAAGTGATGTGTTAGAGAGGTAATGTGACTTAAATAAGATGATATGACTTAAATAGGATAGTGACTTTTTGACTTTTTATCTTTTTTTAATCATGCCAAACTTGGCCTTAAATCACATCACCTCTCTAACACATCACATCAAACCCAACCCAAACCCACCAATAAGTCAAAAAGTACACTTTTTTAGGACATCCTAAACCAACCCTTAATTTCTAAAAAAATCAAATTTCAAAAATTGAAACCTAACATACTAATTAATTTTATTTTTTGATTAGACTCCCAGACGAGACACTAAAACAGTAATAGTCAAATGACAAAAACGTGTTGTAAAATGAAGTAATGTGCTTATGCAATTTGACCTCAATTTGGTTTGGAGCACTGAGGGCATCCACAATGGGATGACTAAAAAGGTGTATTAAGGTATGTTATATGATAAAATATAATAAAAGTGGGGTCTAAAAATATTTGTTAAGATGTGTTAAGAGTTTATTAATTTTAGAGAGTGAGTGGTAGTGTAATGGATGTGTTAAGGGGTGTGTTATATATATATATATATATATATATGTGTGTGTGTGTGTGTATAATAAATAAAATAAATAAATAATTTAGTTTAACCAAAAATTTCAAGTCCAAAAAAAAATTTCAACACGTAAAAAAATAAAAAAATAAATAGCCGTTGACCGGTCAACCGGTAAGACAAACAAACGCACTCCTTCGTTAACTAAAACGCTCCCTACAGATAACAAACAAATTAACACACACCACTAACACACACGCTAACAGCTCAATTATAGTCCCAAATAATACCCTCAGTTAGCCAAAATTTAGCACCTAACACTAACACACAAGTTAGTGTGTCCATTGTGGATTAGGAACACGCTTCAAAATTAAGTACTGGACACTACAATCAAAGATGATTTAAATAAATATATTTATTTGAGTTATATTATTTTTTATAGGGTAATTATCAATGGATTTTAATAGTTAGATTTAATTTTTATCAAGTTTTATTAAAAATAAGTTTTTATAAAATTGTCAGCAAAAATAATATTTTGTGACCCTTTTTTGTATATATATTGTTAAAATTGACAATTAATGACTTTTTTATCACAATTTTTATAAATTGTCGCTAAAATTACAATTAGTGACTTTTCCTGTGACGAATTTTTCAAACTGTCGCTGAAAGTTAAAAATTAATAACTTTTTCTAGGACTTTTTTTTTTTTAAATTGGTGCTAAAACTTTTAATTTGTGACATTTTTTG